GATGCTTAGGGGCTGGGGTTTCAGGCTGGGCAGAGGTAATGCAAGACTTGCGTTCTGCAGCCTCCCCCTACAATGGGTGGGTAGACAGGGTTGGGAGCCAGATGGTCCCTCCCATTCCTCCCCCAAACTCTGGGCTGAACAACTGACAAGTAGGCAGGAGGAAGTGCCCCCTCAAGGGTTCAGGACACGTTCTGGGCCTCCAAGGATTCTATATCACCTCACCCCCTCCATTTCTGTACCCACTCCCTCTGCATGTTGCTCAGTGCAGCTTCATATTCCCTCTCCTGGGCTTGCTGACATCCTACCCCTCTTGGATGCCACTACTCCCAGGCTCATGGACTCAGAGCTCTTGTCCATGCCCTACTCCTCTCTCTGACCCCAGAGCCTCTTTGACTCTCATATTTCCCCCCACTCCTGGAAGTGACTCTCCTCTCTGTTATCTTTTCCTTTGGTTCTCCCCCTGACTCCCTGACCCCTGTCTCTGACTTCCATCTTCCCAACTGTTCAGGATCTCCACTTCCCCCACCCTTTCAGGTATCTCTAATGGGCTGAATGGCCCTATAACCTTATTTCTGAAACTCCACAAATACTATTTCCTTCTCTTTCATTCCCTGTGACCTCATGTAAGCCTTAGTGACTTCCACATCCCCTCACCTCCCATTATGTCCTTACCTTCTATACCTCTGATCCCCTCTATTACTCCTAGCTTTGATCCCTGGTTACTCCTCTCTAATTCCTACAACCTCATCATCTGATCACCTTTCTCCATGCTGTGATCCCAATCATTCTTTGTTTTTTGGCCTCAGTGTTCCTCTGTCTTGGAAATCCTTTTTTAAGATTTTTATTTATTTATTTTTTGAAATGGAATCTCGCTCTGTCACCAGGCTGGAGTGCAGTGGTGCGATCTCAGCTCACTGCAACCTCTACCTCCTGAATTCAAGCAATTCTCCTGCCTCAGCCTCCTGAGTAGCTGGGACTATAAGCATGAGCGCCCCCCCCGGCCCCATACAGCTAATTTTTGTATTTTTAGTAGAGACAGGGTTTCATCATGTTGGGCAGGATGGTCTTGATCTCTTGACCTCATGATCCACCTGCCTCAGCCTCCCAAAGTGCTGGGATTACAGGCGTGAGCCACCGAGCCCTGGAAATCCTTTTATACTCTCAATGATTCCATTTCTGTCAATCTCCCTAACCTACAAATACCTTAATTCCCCAGGACAACTCTCCAGTAACCCTGCTTCTCTGTCCTCATTGTAACCTTTCAATGGTACCCTCTGAAGCCCTGTGACCCCCAAAGACCTCATTTTTCTAAGCCTGTGTGACCCCACCTCTCAAGTTTCTTATGATTTCCAAATACTTCCTCCCTCTGAACAATCCCTCCCATAGACCCCAATGACTCTCTTGCTGATCCCCTTGGGACCCCAATGATTTATTTCTCTGACTCCTATGATCCCAAAGACACCAATGCACAGATTCACTCTTGACTCCAAAGATTTATCCTAACTCCTGTGATCCTCAAATATGTCACCCCTCACAGACCCCAAATCGTGATCTCAGTGATTATGTCTGCTTTCCCAGTGACCGCCAACAGCCATCTCTCTGTAACCTCCCCTGACCTCAGTGGCCCCATCACTGATGTCCTCATGACCCCAGTGACCCGCAAATCTCTGATCTTAGTGTCTTTGTCTCTGGTTCCCTTGGGATCCCATGTCCTTGACTCCTCTGACCTGCTCTTTCCAGCCTGGTGACCTCATCTTGGTCCCTCACTAGCCCCTGTTCCCCTCCAGGTTACCGCTGCTTCAAGGCAGTGCTCTTCCTCACTGGGTTGCTGTTTGGCTCGGTGGTCATCTTCCTCCTGTGCTACCGAGAGCGGGTGCTAGAGACACAGCTGAGTGCTGGGGCGAGCGCAGGCATCGCACTGGGCATCGGGCTGCTCTGTGGGCTGGTGGCCATGCTGGTGCGCAGCGTGGGCCTCTTCTTGGTGGGGCTGCTGCTCGGCCTGCTGCTCGCAGCTGCTGCCCTGCTGGGCTCCGCACCCTACTACCAGCCAGGCTCCGTGTGGGGTCCACTGGGGCTGCTGCTGGGGGGCGGCCTGCTCTGTGCCCTGCTCACTCTGCGCTGGCCCCGCCCACTCACCACCCTGGCCACCGCCGTGACTGGTGCTGCGCTCATCGCTACTGCCGCTGACTACTTTGCTGAGCTGTTACTGCTGGGGCGCTACGTGGTGGAGAGACTCCGGGCCGCTCCTGTGCCCCCCCTCTGCTGGCGAAGCTGGGCCCTGCTGGCACTCTGGCCCCTGCTCAGTCTGATGGGCGTTCTGGTGCAGTGGCGGGTGACAGCTGAGGGGGACTCCCATACAGAAGGTAAGGGGACACAGGCCAAGGTGAACATGAGAGGAGTGGGTGGCCAGGGATGGATGGGGGTGCCGAGTAACTGGGGAGTGTGGGACAGCAGCAGAAGGCCTGGATGGCGGTAGAGGGCTGACTTGCTTGGCATCTGTAAGGATAAGAGCCGGGTACCATCACTCATTCCACAAAAACATATGGAGCGTTGGCTCTGCACCAACCCCATTCCAGGCACCAAGGATACAGCAGAGCTATAACAGAAAAGGTCCCTGTCCTTATGGGTATATGTTTGGGGTGGGCAGGAGACAGGTAACAGAGATGCAAACAAACAAGATAATTCCAGTTGTGTAGAGTGACATGACAGAGATATGCAGGGCAATGTGAAAGAGGACCCAGGGAAGCCATTAGAATTAGGGTGGTCAGGGAAGGCTGCTTGGAGGAGGTGATATGTAAGCAGACACTTGAAGGCTAGGGAGCCGGCCATGCAAAGAGTTAGGGAAGAGGGAACAGCAGGGGCGAGGGCCCTGAGAAGGAATGAGCCAGGTTGTTTGAGGAAGTAGGGCTGGGGTATGGGAGGGAGGTTTGGGAGCCAGGGTGATTGTGTGAAGCCTCTGGGCCCTAAGAAACACTCCACATTTTATTAGAAGGGCAATGAGATGCCACCGGAGTGTTTAAAGTAGGCGAGGACAGAATTGAATTTTGCTTTTGGGATGCTCGTTCTGCTGCCGAGTGTAGAAAGCACTGGAGGGAGCAAGCATAGGGGGAAACCAGTGAGGAAGCAACTGTGGCTGTCCGGTGGAAAGATGATGGTGGGTGGCCTAGGCCTAGGTGAGTCACCTATGGCTGAGGATTGGGAGGGTGATGACAGCCGGGAAGCGGGTAACTGGAAACCTAGGAATCTTCCACAAAGACCTATGGAAGAACAGAGCGACAGCAGGGAGTCCCCTCCAGGAGGTAGGAGACCAGAAAAGGACGTGACGGGGTAGGAGTAAGAGTTTATGGACAAGAGGAATCTGGAAGCCTGCAGCCCTAGGTGGGAAAAGAGAGGGAGGGCTCAGGGGAATTAAGGCGCACACTCCTCTGAGCTCCTCCTCTGCCCGTCCCACCTCAGTGGTCATCAGCCGGCAGCGCCGACGCGTGCAGCTGATGCGGATTCGGCAGCAGGAAGATCGCAAGGAGAAAAGGCGGAAAAAGAGACCTCCTCGGGCTCCCCCCAGAGGTCCCCGGGCTCCTCCCAGGCCTGGGCCCCCAGACCCAGCTTATCGGCGCAGGCCAGTGCCCATCAAACGCTTCAATGGAGACGTCCTCTCCCCGGTGAGCCCCCTGAGCCCATCCAGTCAGAATGGGGAGAAAAAAGTGTGGAAAGTCTATCCAAACAGTCCTGGGCTTTCCCCATGGGCTGGCTGCTGTCTAGAAGGCCTACTCTCTGTGTGTCAGAGCCCATGCACCAGGGACTTGGCAGGTCCAGCTGGTGGGGGGATTGGGGGAACTGTACCCTGAGTATGGGTTTTAAGTGGGATGTGGTATGTGGTGGGGTCTTAGGGCTGTGGACTCTGAGTCTGTGGCAGTCTGTAGGGGTGTAAGGCTTGCGGGGATTCAGGAAGAGGTGGTTTTTAGGGCAGGATTCTGCGGTGGGACTCTCACACCTATGTTTGCTCCCCCACAGAGCTACATCCAGAGCTTCCGAGACCGGCAGACCGGGAGCTCCCTGAGCTCCTTCATGGCCTCACCCACAGATGCGGACTATGAGTATGGGTCCCGGGGACCTCTGACAGCCTGCTCAGGCCCCCCAGTGCGGGTATAGCCAGATCTCTGCCTGTCTAGACTCTGCAGTCACCAGCTCTGCCAGCTCGGGAGGCCTGCCAGGCTGCCACCCAGCCCCCTGGCTTTGGCTGTCTCTCTCCCCAGCCTGGAGAGGGCTGGCCGGGTCACTAGAAGGGAGGATTGTCTCAGGCGAGGCTTGGCCTAAGAGAAAAGGCCCCTCCCAAGCTCCCAAGGGGCTCCTGAGGAACTTGGGGTGTGAACCCCATTGGGGTGTGCTCAGGGTTGTAAGTGTGTTGCCCGTGTGTGTGTATGTGTGGGGGGCAGGCTTGGAGGGGAAACTGGGACCCTTGCCTTAGATTTCTGACTGGTAGGGTTTCTCCAGGCACGGCCCCACCTCCTCCCCCCGGCTGGGGTCCCATGGGCCACCTCCTGCATGTCTCCGCGGAGGGGCTGCCTTCCTCCCCATCACCCTGCCACCCAGCCAGACTCATCTAAGGGTTCTTGTCCTTGTCTATGGGGCAAACTGTAGCACCCCTCACCCTGGTCCCCTGGCCTCTGCAAAGCCACCAGCCTGAAGGCAGGGGCAGGAGATGGGGATGGGGGGTGCTGCTCTGGGCTGGGCTGGGTTGGGAAGGGAGTTGGGGAGGGGCTTAAATGCACGGTGCATGTCTGGTGTCTGTCATGCCAACCTGGACACCTCATGCTTCTGTCTCCCCCATCCCACTCTGTTTTACATCTTTTATAAATGTGCCAAATTGCGTGGCCTCTGCCAGGAATGGTGGTCTTTGGTGGCTGGCACTTTCATGGGCGAGGTACAAGCACTACAGCCCTCACTGCACAGGGGCAACAGGCAAGGTCTGCCCTCCCACATCACTCAGAGAGGCAAGGGAATGAGCTGTAGCACTTTTATTGTTTCCTGACACCTCTGATTTCCCTGTCTCTCCTCCCCTGCCCAGGGTAAGGGCACACGCCTTCCAAGCTGTCCAAGGGCACCTGCCTGGCCTGGTTCGGTCCTCCTAGTTACCTGCAGAGGAATGACTCCACGTGGGGCTGGGGAGAGAGTGGGTACCACCTTCCTCTTCCCCGGCAGAGCCTGGACACTAGCACAGGAAGAGCTGGGCCCACAGGCTCTGCCCTACCCTTTCTGGGCCTCTGTTAGGGCTGTCTTGGAAGGTGGGGGTCAGCTAGGGGTAGGGCACAGCTCAACATCTGGAGGGAATGCTGGGATTTGGGATAGAAGGTGGGATGTCTCTTCCTGTGAGACATGTGTAAGAGGAAAGGAAGAGGCCTCTGCTAAGGCTGACATGGAACTCACTGAGATGGGCGGGAGGGAGGAGGGACAGGCTGGAGGCAGGCAGTGTTGGGGAGGCACAGAGGAGAGGAACTGGTAGAAATGGGGCTGTTCAAGAGAGAGAAACATGGTCCAGTGGCAAGAGAGAAGCCTGGCAGGAAGGGGTGTAGAAAGGTGGGAACAGCTGACCAGGAGCAGCTGATCTGAATCAAGCGGTTCCAGGGCTTTCCAGCCCTAGGTGTGCTCTATCCCTCCCCTCCCCCACCCCCACCTCCAACACATCCCGGGACCCGCCGCCACCCCAAGTCCTCGAAAGCCTCCCATAGGTGTGGCTTAGCCCATCGGCTCCCAGGTGTCCTCGTCCGCCTGCCTCTGCCCAGTCGGCTTTACTCACCCTCTACCAGCAGCCGTGTGTGGGCGCTGTCCTGGCCGGCCTGGCAGCAGTAGGTGCCCTGGTCCTCAGGTCGAACGTCATGGATGACCAGGCTGTGGGTGGGGCCGTGGCTGCGCATCTCATACTTATCTCCCGGGCACAGCTCGGCCCCCTCCCGCAACCAGCACACGTGGCCCCCCGAGCGGGACACAGTCACTTCCAGCACGGCCCGGCGGCCCACCAGAATGGTCTTCTCGCGAGGGGGGCGGCGGCACATCTGGAGAGGCAATGCTGAGGGTAGGGGGCGGGGGCTTAAGTTAATAGGGACACAAATAGCCCCCAGGAGAAGAGACGCATCTTCCCTCCCTGCAGCCTCCACTCATGGCCTCAGCCCTCTATGCCACTGGTCCGTTCCTTTGCACCTCAAATCCGAAGTCTCCTCTTCCCAGGGAAACGCGGTGCCCTCTGTGACCCGGCCCAGGAGAGCCCTTCGGGGGAAGGGGAAGAGGAAGGCAGCGTTCCCGGGGTCACTCCCGGTCCGTCAGTCCCCCGGCGGGAGAGGAGAGGGTGTTCTTTCCCTGTCGCTCCCGCCCTTGGTGCTTACCCTCCACTTCCAGCAGAGCCAAGGACTGGGCGGGCCCCGCCTGGAAGCGGACTTCACCGGCGTCCTCGGCGCGCAGCTCGCTCAGCACCAGAATGTGTTTCTTCCCTGGGGGTGACGGGGTCGCTAGCGAGGCCGGAGCCACCTCAGAGGAGCGCTGGGGACGAGGGTGGGGCCGCAGCAGGCCCCTGGGTCGGTTCGGACGCCGTTAGTGTACGCTAAGTGGGGCGGAACCGGGGTGCGGAGCGGGGAGAGGAGCGGTCCGGGACTCGGGGCTGGGGGCTGGGGAGAGACCGGGGACGCGGCTCTGGTGCCTTGAGGCGGGGCCCGTCGGAGCCGGAGGTGGGGCTTGTCCCGCGGGGCGGGGTCTGTCCGAGCCTGGGCGGGGCAGCGAGGGGCCGGAGAGGGTAGCCAGGCTGCCAGACCTTCTTGTCGGATGCGGACGCGGGCTCCGGGTCTCAGCGGGCGGCCTCCGAGCTCCCAGCGCCCCGTGGTCTCGGCCTCCGACACGGTGCACTCGAACGTAGCGCCGCCGCCTTCGCGGGCTCTCACCGACAGCAGCTCTGAGAGCACCGCCACTGTGCGGGCTGGGGCGGAGCCCGGGGCGTGAGCGGGGCGGGCGGAGGGCAGGTGCTGGCCACGCCCCCACGCCCCTTTTTAGAAGCACGCGCGGTCAATAGGGTCGCGGGAAGATCGCTCCGCAGGTCTCGCGCCCAAAGCAGTGCCCAGCCCCCGCATCACCCCATACCCACCGCGCACGGTCAGGCGGACCGGCCCAACGCGGGCCGTTCCCAACGCGCAGCTGTAGGTCCCGGCGTCCGAGGGGCTGCAGCGCCGCAGCTGGAGAAGGCGGCGCGTGCCGAGGGCCTGGAGCCGGAGCCGCGGGCTTGGAGTGAGCGCGCGCCCGTCCTAGGGGCGGGAGTTGCAGAGGGTCGGGGAGAGCACGGCTGGGAGCGGGCGGCGGCACCCTCTGTTGATGCCAAGGGGTCTCGAGGCGCGTTTATGTGTATCTCGTGTTCCCAAGCTGGGATCGGGCTGTCCCACGACTTCGGGGCCGTGCCAGGAGCCTCTTTGAGAAGGTGTCACCCTTTGGGGACCTTAGGGCCCCAAAGGTGCACGGGAAGCCCAGAGCCAGGTATCAGTCACAGGGGGACATGGTCACGGATTCTGGAATTAGGCAAACCTGGATTCAAATATGGGCTCCATCTCTTTGGTCTGCCCTTGGGCAGGTAATTTCGTCCCACTGAGCATCAGTTTCCTCATAGATAACACAATGACAAGGCCTACCTCCTAGAGTTGTAAGGAGTAAGGGATTAAATGTAACGCAAATGCACAGTGCCAGGCACACACGCCGAAGAAGTATTAGTTGTTTCTTGGTGCATTATCGTTGGTGTTATGATGTTGAAGTGGACTGGGCTGGGGTTGGGCTCTGACCTTCTCCCAGGTAACATCAGCCAAAGCTTGGGAAAGCTCGCACTCGAACGTAGCTGTGTCGCCCTCGGTCACCTCTAGGTCCTGTGGCCCCCGAACGATGGTCACTGGGACCTCTGGGAGTGGGAGAGAGAGGACAGTGCAGAGGGAGCAGGATGGGGACCCAGCTTGCAGCGACAAGGAAGGCACGCACTTGGGCACAAGGGGTCAGTAGAGGACACTAGCGAGTAGGGGGATAAGCTGGGTCAAGTGGTCCAAGAAGGATCAGTCAGTGGAAGGGGGTGCGGGGAGGGTCACAGCAGGGCTACAGGGCTAATGGGTTAGGAGCGGCCAACTAGGAGTCACACTTTAAGGTGCTCCGTGGGGAGAGGCTGGAGGCCAGAGGGCAATGGGGAAATGAGCAGAGATGCCAGTGGAGTCACCCACAGGTGGGCATGGTCAGTGGGGTCACATGTGGCCAGAATGCCCAGCAGGAGACACTGGTCATTGGGGGACCCAATGGGTTCAGAGGAGCAATGAGCAACATGCTAGAGCAGGTGTGGTCAGTGGGAACATCTTGGGGCTGGAAGCAAAAATGGGGGACGCTCCAGCAGAGTTGCTAGTGATGTCACCCCTAGGCAGTCAGTGGATTGGAAGGACTCGAGTGGTCACAGGGACTACACTCAGGCAGGCAGAGGGAGCCATGGCAGGCAGTGTAGCCAGCAGGGTCACAGTTAGAGTGGTCAGTGGGGTAGTGTACAGGCAGGCAGACAGCAGGGACCACAGTAGCATAGGCATGCTCATCAGTCAGTGGCTGACAGAGCCTGGGGCAGTCAGGGGCCACACTCAGGCAGAGGAGTCTCTGGGGCCACACAGGGCCAAAGGGTTGGGGGGTCACACTCTGGCAGGGATGTCAGTGAGGGCCACACAGGGCCAAAGGGTCAGGGGGTCACACGAGTCGGGGTCAGTATTCATGCCTGGGGTGAGTAGGGCCACATAGGTCAGCAGGCAGGCTGTGGTCTTGGCACCCACACCTCTCACAACGAGTCTGGCTGCGCAGCGCAGGGAATCCGCCGTGAAGGAGACACAGCCTGAGTCGGCCAGGCCTAGGCCGCTGAGTACCAATTGGTGACTCTGGCCCTCCGAGTGGATGTGGCACTTGGGCCCCGGATGCAGCCGGACTCCACCCCGGGCCCACTCCCCGGTCACACCTTCCTGGGACAGCTCCAGCTGGAAGGTGGCACTGCCACCCTCACTGATGGTTACGTCCTCCAGAGGCCGCAGCACCCTCAGCTGCCTCGCTGGCCGGGGGAGATGGAGAGAGAAGGAGGATGAGGCCTCCAGCTCTGGGCAGGGTTTGCAGTGGCTCCTCCATCCCTTGGCCCTGCCTATACCCCCCAACACCCAACCTAAGGCCCTGACCAAAATAGTTCAGAACCAGTGTGCAGGAAGGAGGAGGCACAGCGGATAGACTTGGTGGGGGCACAGGGCTGGATTAGGGTTAGGAGATGAGGGCACAGGAATGGGGAGGAGTGTGGTTGGGGGCTCATGGAGTCTAGGTGGAGTGCTGTGACACTGGAAGGAGCATGGAATTTGGAGTCATGTACACTACAAATAGAACCTCACTCTACCACAGAGTTTGTGCGCTGTGTGATCTTTGGCAAATGGCCTGACCTCTCCGGGCCCCAGCTGCCCCAGCTGTACAAGGTGAATAACACTGGGACACGGGTTTATTGCGATAATTTCATGAATGAAATAAGTTAGAAGAGATACATGTCACCAGCGGCAATTATTCACCAAGCTGTGTGTAAGCATTTTTCATGTTATCTGTTTATGTTCCCAGAGACACTTGAGATGGGGATCAACCCCATTTTAAATATTTGAGGCAGGATCTCACCATCACCCAGGCTGGAATGCTGTGGCATGATCGTAGCTCACTGCAGCCTCAGACTCCTGGGTTCAAGCAATCCTTCTGCCTCAGCCTCACTAGTAGCTGGGACTACAGGTGCACAGTCTCATGCCCAGCTAATTTTTTTTTGTAGAGATAGGGTCTTGCTATGTTGCCCAGGCTGGCCTCGAACTCCTGGAGTCAAGGGATCCTCCTACCTTGGCCTCCCAAAACGTTAGGATTACAGATGTGAGCCACTACATCTAGTCTTAGCCCCATTTTTAAAGAACATTTGGCTCAGAGAGGTTACATAAGTTGCATGAGGAAACAACGGGCTCCAGCTTGGGGTTGGAGGAGTGGGGTGCCGTTTGCCAGCCATCCCTGCTACTTAAGTGGGTATGTGTATCCCTAGAACACATGACTGAAGGATGCCCATGGCAAGTCTTTTTGGAGAATATTTATGTTTATAGCAAGGCCAACTTGGAAATATGAAATGGAATGCAAAATCCACACGGACTTTTAAGGTAAATAAAAAACACTAGAAAAAGAAAAGTTTTGCTTTGGGCAGGCTGCTGCAGGTTCCACCCCCAGACTGGGACGGCCAGGGCTGACTTTCCTCAGCGGTGAGGGGCACTTTGGTCAGGGCCTGAGGGACTCCAGGACAGCCAGAAAAGGCTGTGCTGTGGGACGGGTAATTCATTAAGAGAGGACAGGGCACTCACGCCTCACGCTGAGCCTGGCCAGGGTGCGATCGTGGTGGCTCTCGCAGCCGTAGGTGCCCTGGTCAGCCAGTACAACACCATGGATGAAGAGGCGGTGGATGTGCTCATCCTGGGCCATAGACAGGCGAGAGTCGTGGGGCAGGGGCTGCCCACCTCGCACCCAGCGCACGGCTCCCACTGCACCCACTCGGCCTGTCTCCACTTCGAAACACACGTCCTGGCCTTCCTCTGCCCGCACGTCCTGCAGCCGCCGTAGGAATAGCAGCTCTGTCTCTGGTGGGAAAGAAGGAGGAGGCCATAGAGGCTGGTGGGGTTCAAGGCCGGCCCCTTGCTCCATCCTACTGGTCTGTCCCTAGGCGGACAGGCAAGGCTGTGGGGGCCCAGGATGGGGGGTACAGCCACGGGACACAGAGCATCTCATCCTCCTCAGGACCTCACCTCGAACATGGAGCCGGGCACTTGTGGCTGTGCTCCCTGCACGCACAGTCACGGTCCCCGCATCCCCCAGCTGGCAGCCTCGCAGGGTCAAGGTGCGGCTTGAACCGTTCTGGGCCATCTCCACCTGGGGCCCCGGAGTGATGACGGCTCCATTGCGCAGCCAGGTGACATCGGCATCTGGTGGGGAGACTTCACACCGGAACGTGGCATCATCGCCCTCATGGACAGTAAGTGGTGTCAGCTCCGAGACCAGCTTCACCGGCAGCGGCTCTGAGGGCGTGGTCAGGTAATGAGATGTGTGGGGTCTTTTCCCTCCTCCCCTTTCATCCTGTCCTCAGGATACAGGCCCTCACCCCCAGTCATTTAATAAACCTTCCATGAAGACCTGCCATGTATGGGCCATAGGGGTGGCCCAAAGGACAAGATGTCAACTCCCTGCCACTCCTTTCAGTCAGTTCCTTGAAATCCTAGCCTAGCGCCCCACCTCCATGACGTCCTAATAACAGATCATTTACCAGGGACCCTACTTAGAGCATATACTTGTCACAACAGGTCTATAAGACAAGCACTATCCCCTCTTCTCAGAGCTGGGGCTCAGAGAGGCTGAAGAACTTGGCCAATGTCACACAACTACCGGGGCCCAGAATCCAGGCTGGAACCTGGGTGGGTGGATTCTGGAGCCCCTGCTTTTAACCACCTATGCCACTCTCACGCAAGGGTTTCTGGAAAGGGGAGCCGTAAACCCCTATCCAAGTGATAGTCACACATGCACTGGTTGGAGCCAGAGGCAGCAAAGCAGGGTGGAGGGGTAAGGGAGCCCCAGAATTGTGGCAGGTGGTCCTTGGGGTGCCAGAGCCCACAGGATGTGAGGAGTGCACTGTTACCTTCCACGCTGACGAGGAAGATGCGGCTGTCCTGGGGCGCGTCGCACAGGTACTCCCCAGCGTCCCCACTCCGTGCCCCCTGCACCCGCAGCACCTGCCTGGCCCCGGCCTGCTCCAGCTGCACCCGCCCCTGGCTTGCCAGTCGCTCCCCGTCCTTGTACCAGCGCACAGGGCCCCCGGGCCCAGAGAGGTGCACCACCAGCTCGAGGTCCCCGCCTGGGGTGCTCCGAACTCTCGTCTGGGCTGCCTCGGGAGCCACCACCCGCACAGGGGGCTCTGTGGGGTCAGAGCTGGAGGTCACTTGGAAGGAGAGACTCAGGGCTTTGAGGAGGGCAGTGGGGGGCATGACAGGAAGGTCCTGAGAAAAGTGGGATAGGGATGGGCAAGGCATGCTGGAAAAGCAGGAATCCTACAGGGTTTGGGGTGCCACGCACAGGCTTAGTGTCCAGGCTGTACTCACCAGCCACCTGGACGGTGAAGCTGAGGCTCGGGGCTCCTGGGGCTGCTCCAGACTGGCAGGTGTAGAGCCCTGCATGGGCTGGGCCTGCAGCCTGGATGCAGAGGACTCGGCGGGGGCCCTCAGCATGGAACTCTAAGCCCTCTCCCTCCTGCACGGGCTTCCCATTGTGGCTCCAGATCACAGGGGCACCAGCCCGGGACAGTTCACAGCTCAGCACCACTGGCTCCCCGGGAGCCACACAGAGCGGGCTCGGGGCTCTCTCTGGAGCAAGGAACTGCACTGGGGGCTCTGGGTAAGAGAGGAGGGTGTCAGTCCATGCTTGTCCTTGCCTCCCCACCCCAGGTTGGCCAGGAGCACGCACCAGCCAGGATGACATTGAAGGTGATGGCCTCATCTCGGGTCTCACACACATACTCCCCGGCGTCCTCAGGCTGGGCGTGGGGCAGGGTCAGGGTGCGGGTGGACCCCTTGGCACCCAGCTGCAGGGCGTCTGATGCCTCCACTTCCAGCCCGTCCTTGTACCAGCGCACCTGAGACCCAGCTGGGGCCACCTCACAGCGCAGCTCCACGCGCCCGGGAGCCCCAAAATGCAGATCCAGGGATCGGGCTGCTGGATGCACAATCCTCTCTGGCGGGGCTGGTGGGTGGGCAGAGAGAGGGGCACATGGGCTTGGGGAGCAGGCCTCTCCTGCCTTACCCACCAGATCCTCAGCCCTACCCCCTGGCAGCACAGCTGTTGGGAATGGTGCCAGCAGCAGTCCATGGAGCAGCTGCTGTGTGCCAGGCACTGTGCTAAGCCCTGGTTTTGTTTGTTTGTTTGTTTGTTTTTTTGAGATGGACTTGCACTCTTGTTGCCTAGGCGGGAGTGCAATGGTGCGATCTTGGCTCACTGCAACGTCCGCCTCCCAGGTTCGAGCAATTCTCCTGCCGCAGCCTTCTGAGTAGCTGGGATTACAGGAATGTGCCGCCACACCCGGCTAAGTTTTTTGTATTTTTAGTAGAGATGGTATTTCACCATATTGGCCAGGCTGGTCTCGAACTTATGACCTCATGATCTGCCCGCCTCGGCCTCCCAAAGTGCTGGGATTACAAGCGTAAGCCACTGCGCCCAGCCAGCCCTGTGTTTTTTTAATCAGTTACTCTGACCACCCCGAAACAGGTGCACAGCTGCTGGCTGTACCTCACAGATGAGGACCTGAGGCCTCTTTAGAAGAAACTGACTTGCTAAGCTCATACAGACAGAAAGAGGCAGATCCAGACTCACACCCAGATCTACACACCCCACTCCACAGCCACCCTACTTCCTACCCCCTTTCCTTGCTTCACCTCTGATGCACTCATTACCACCTGACAAACCATCTCTTATTTTTTGTCTGTCCACTCTTGCTAGAGTATAAGCTCTGTGAAGACAGGAGATTTTGTCTTGCTGGTTCACTGCTGTATCCCCAGCGTCTAAAAGAGTGCCAAGCACATAGTAGTCGCTCAATGAGTATTGAATGAATGAATGAATGAATGAATGGTTCTAATTGATGGGCACCCTCCCACCAGGCCTCTGGTCCTGATCTGATGTGGCCAAGCAGGAATCTGATGACTGAACACAAGGAGGCTGGAAAAGGGGAAGGCTGGGATGGGGTGGGGGAGGAGGGTGTCTGTCCTTTAGCCTCCTACGTCTCTACCTCCTCCGTGTGCTTCAGAGACTGCCTACCTGTGACAGTGACAGTGAAGAAGGCTGAGTCATCTCCAGCATCGCATACGAACTCTCCCCCATCCTCAGGCTGGGCAGCAGGTAGTACCAGGCGGCAGCGTGGCCCGTCCCTCTCCAACACCAGGGCCTCGCTCTCCTCCACTTCCAGCCCGTCCTTGTACCAGCGCACAGGGGCATCCTCCCGAGATAGCTCGCACATCAGCACCACACACTCCAAGGTCACAGCGATCAAGGCCACCTCATCCCGGGGGTATAGGATCCGCACTGGGGGTTCTGCAGGGTGGGGACAACCACAGGCTGTCACAAGCTCACCGTCAGCCTCTCTGGAGCCATTTGGCAGCATGAAGATCCCATCACCCACATGATAATAATAAGTATAATAATAATAAGCAGTAATAGGTCCACAATTTGTTCTCTGAAATCTCTCGGGCCAGAGATGTTACAGAAGCCAGAATGCTTTGGATTCTGGAAATGATGCATTTCTCATCTATCACATACCTTCCTCAGCCCCCAGGGGACTGAGGGCTTCATCAGTCACATTAACATATCTGGTATAACACATAATACACTCACCCTAGGCAGGATATATTGAAAGATATAGACTTACAAGAATATATCTATAATAGATTCGTATCTTATAGATATAAGACTATAAGATACTCATATCTTACTGATATACAGCTATAGCTATATTCACCTTTCACAGGGTATTAAAACATAGAAATAGCTTCAGAGCAATCAAACTCAGGTTTTCCTGAAACGATTTGGAATACCGAACTTATAAAAGGCCTTTCGATTTTGTTTGGCATTATGGATAAGGGATAGTGGATCTGCAATAGCAAACATTGATATGCCACTTCCTAAGGTCCAGAAACAGTCCTAAGCACTTGAAATATTTAACTCTCACGGCAATCCTAAGAGGAAGGTAGTGTTTTATCCCCATTTTCCATATAAGGGCACAGAGTGATTATACGACTTCCGTAAGGTCACAGCTGGCCACATCCACTCTGGGGCAGGAGAAAGGAATACCCTCTGTCAAAGGGAGGAGGCTCAGATTCCACAGATAGTGGCAGGAATTCTAAACCAAGCCTTGCAGGAACGCAATAGTGCTTTTTGCATCCGCCTGTCTGAGAGTTCCCCAGGGGTGCTAAATGCTGATTCTGAGAGTTCACTCCAAGTTCCGGTCACTTCTCTGCAGAATGGGAACCATGTAAATATTAGAGGTGACCAGTGCATGTAGCCCAGGCCTGCCCACACTCCGGCTGCCCGCAGGTCCCCCCAGAATCTTCAAGTTTCCGGGAGACTTTAATGGCCCATCAGCCTTTGGCCCCCTGGTGGCGGGGCTGAGGAACTGCTAGCTTCCCAGTCTTGGGAGTGTGCATGGCCGAGGTAACAAGCTCCCACTCCGCCCTCTGCCAGGACTCCTGCCTTGAGCCACACAACCCACCTCCCCCATGGGCTTGCTTGCTCTAAGGGTCTGAGGGATGCAGGCTGGTCCTCTGTGGCCAAGCAAGGCCGGGAGAGAGCAGAGTGCAGCTGCCTGAGGGGTGGGGAAGGTGATGAGGGCAAGGAGAGAGCACAGGGCGCAGTGATGGGACCCGGGTGGCTACCCAGCTCTGGGACCTCAGCTTGGTGTCAGACTTGATTTGCTCTGGCCTAGAGGAGAGGTGGTGTTTGTGCGAACTTCTCTGTGAAGAGACTGGTGTTTTGAGGGGAGCCTGGGTGTGAGCTGGCGTTTGTGTGGCTGTGGCCATTATGTCTGGCCAGGGCTGGGGAGGAGAGGGTGAAGGTGAATGCTACAGGGCAGAATGTGAGCAGAAGGCCTCTTAGGCATTGTGGGCTTGTGTGTGCAGCTTGACTAGCTGGGGTACAGGGAGTGGGGGAGCCTCTAAACAGCTCAGCATGGGGCGTGACTTTCAGGACAGGGCTGGGGTAGGACAGGACTGTGGCTAAAGTAGGATGGGTGTTTCAGCGCAGCCACTGGGGTTCTGTGCCACCCAGAGCAGCCCAGCCCCAGGGACCTCCAGCCCCTGACACACACACTGGACTGGGCACTGTGAGCCAGCACCCCAAGGTCTCCGGCACTGAAACTCCATCACTTCCACAGTCGTCCTGAGCTTCTCCCGCTTCCAGTATTTCCCCCACACCAACCTCCTGCCTACACCCACCTCCACTTAGCTCCAGTATCAGCTTTGAAAGCACTTCCTGGCTAGGTGCAGTGGCTCACACCTGTAATCCCAGCACTTTGGGAGGCTGAGGCAGGTGGATCATGAGGTCAGGAGATCAAGACCATCCTGGCTAACACAATGAAACCCTGTCTTCACTAAAAATACAAAAAATTAGCTGGACATGGTGGCATGCACCTGTAGTCCCAGCTACTCAGGAGACTAAGGCAGGAGAATCACTCGAACCCAGGAGGCTGAGGTTGCAGTGAGCCAAGATGGCGCCACTGAACTTCAGCCTGGGTGCCTGGGTGCCAGCGAGACTCCATCTCAAAAAAAAAAAAAAAAGAAAGGCCAGGCGCGGTGGCTCACACCTGTAATCCCAGCACTTTGGGAGGCTGAGGCGGGTGGATCACGAGGTCAGGAGATCAAGACCACCCTGGTCAACATGGTGAAACCCCATCTCTACTAAAAATACAAAAAAAAAAAATTAGCTGGGCATGGTGGCGCGTGCCTGTAATCCCAGCTACTCAGGAGGCTGAGGCAGGAGAACTGCCTGAACCCAGGAGGCGGAGGTTGCAGTGAGCCAAGATCGCGCCATTGCACTCCAGCCTGGGTAACAAGAGCGAAACTCCATCTCAAAAAAAAAAAAAAAAAAAAAAGAAAGAAAGAAAAAAAACAGAAAGAAAGAAAAAAAAAAGAAAGCACCTCCTGTCGCCTGGCCAGGTGGTGGCTCTCAGCCCCAGGGTCCCTAGAGAAGCTCTAGGCAACAACCCATGCTCTAAGATCCTGGAAGGCGCCTGGCTTTCCTGCCAGGCTGTGCACTCCTGGAGGGAAGCAGCCATTTCTGTCTTCGCAGTGCTGGTTCCTGTGTGTAAAAGGGTAACTTTCTCTGAGGCCCTCCCTGACCCTCCTGCTCTGCGTTCTTGAGCCCTCTGCCCTTGGCCCTCCCAGTACTTATCACCAGGTGTCACTGTACATTTATTTGCGTGTTTATTGGTTTAACACAGGGGTCGCAAACTCAAATGCCCACAAGGGCCAGGTTAGGTTAGCGGCTGAAGCAGTCTGGGGAGAGGCAAAAAGCAATGGCAGGAAGGGTGGGACAGAGGAATGTGGGCCCCAGACTGCAGGGGCAGCTGCTACTCAGTGCCAGCTGTTCGTCGCCATGGGGGGAAGCGGGACCAGAGCCGCCGGGTCTTCGGCTTTTTCAAGAGGACGCATACCTCCGGATTGTTATCTGAACTGTCCTGACTTTGGTAAGACTCTGCAGACCAAACAAAGCATATGTGGAATGCACAGGCCCCCGGGACTGCCCGTTTGCGACCCCTGGTTAACAGCTGCCTCCTCACCTAGACTGGCAGCTCTCTCAGAATAGGAACCATGTCTGTATTACTCACCTGCTACTCCCAGTACCTGGCGCAGGGCAAGTGCTCAGTAAATGAATTGTGGCACAGAGCTGGGCCTGGCCTTGGGCACTGGGGAGGGGCTTGTTTCCTCGAATAGGAGCCCTGTGCTGATCTCAGCAAGAACCCTGGCACTCATACCTGCCGCCCCACCTTCCTCCTCCCCAGGGTGCTAGCTGGGGCTATGTGGCCAGCTCCTCCAGGGCTCAGGGCTGTCTCTGTGACCCCAGGAAGCTAGGCTGGACCCACACCTGTGACGGTGACAGTGAAGGAGGCTGACTCATCGTCGATTTCACACAAGTACTCGCCGGAGTCCTCGAGCTGGACGGCAGGCAGCACCAGGCGGCGGATGGTGTCTTCCTTCTGCAGGAGCAGCGCGGGGCTCTCCACCACCTCCTCTCCGTCCTTGGTCCAGCGCACCTCCGCCCAAGGCCGGCACAGCTCACAGGTCAGCACCACACGCTCCAGGCGCACAGCTGCCACATACACCTTGCCACTGGGATACACGATCCACGAGGAGACATCTGGAGGACAGGGACAGCTACTGCCAGGCATGACGGGTGGGCCAGGCGTAGGCCTGCCACCCTCCCTAATCCAGTTGTGTCCCCTACCCTATGTGTTGAAGAAGGACCTCCCTGAGATTGTCACACAGCAGCTGACAGTTACTCACAGCTAGAGACACATGAATACAGCTGTCACAAAAGCACACCAGACTTTGCGCTGTGCAGGGGCTGCACAGCAGGGACCATGGGGTCAGCTCCAGCTGCAGAACTGCTCCACATTCTCTGGGCTGGGACAGGAGTGGTATGAAGGGTGGAACTGAGGAGGAGGATTGGGTCCCCAGATGGAGCTGGGGATCTCCTCCTCCAAGATCTTTTGGCCTCTCTAGTGCCTAAGACCACCTGCCCTAGACTCTTCCCTGCCATAGATTCACTGTCCCCAAAGATTTCCCTTGGCAGAGGTTTTCAGGAGAACAGAGAAGGCAGGGCTTCCTTAGCCAAGACCAATGTGCTTTTGATAACACGTTTCCTGCATGTGACTAGACCATAGCTTGAGGAGAAAGGGAGGAGATCTGATCTGCCAGGGGGAGGGCAGCAGGGTGGGGAACAGTGACCCAGGAGTGAAAGTGTGGCAGCTGCCTGAGGGAGCAGGGGGCACCTTCCCCTGTGCCTCCCAGGCCCTCCTGGCTCCCCACCTGGCCCCCCACCTGTGATGGTGACGGTGAAGTAGGCACGCTCGTCTCCGGCGACACACTGAAACTCGCCCCCATCTGAGGGCTGAGTGGCAGGCAGCACCAGGCGGCGATGGGGCCCCTCACTCTCCAGCACCACGAAGTCATTCTCCTCCACCTCCTGCCCATCCTTGTACCAACGCACAGGGGCGTCCTCTCGGTCCACCTCGCAGGCCAGCATGACACACTCGGAGGTTATGGCATGCACGAACACATGCTCTCGGGGGTCCACGATGTGCACGGGGGGATCTGGGCAGGGAGCAGAAGCGGCATTGCACAGACATCCCCACACAATCAGTCTCAACTAGCTGTGTGGCCAGGAGACACTGTTTCTGCACAGGAGGACCCTGGGGAGGGCTAAGGCCCTGCTGTGTAGGGGCTCAGGGACAATGACAAGGAATACTGAAGGCATGGCAGGTGAGATACGGCAGATCATGTGGCAGCAGAGTGCTCTGAGGGTCCCCAAAAGATCAGAGGTGGTGGGGTGAGTACATGGAGGGAAGGAGGCACAGAGTTCACAGAGAGGCAGCCATTATTTGTCTAGGCTGAAGGGAGGTCACTGTCACAAGCTACATCAGGGCCATGCTGACTGCTTCTATTATTACAAGAAAGCCCCCGGGGCGGGCAGGTGAAGGATGGCCCAATAAGTGGCAACAGAGACAGCCCCTCTCCGGGTAATGAGTTCCCTGTCACAGGGTGCATTCAGGCAGGGGCCACAGGACCTCCTGGCAATAGTGTGGAAAACAGGGTTTCCACTCAGTGAGATGAGTGGGATCCGTGGTTGCCAAGCTGCTCTCTCGGAGAGTCTGTATTTGTTAGGAGAGGATCTTCAGGCTTCACCCTGGATATTGGGGCTCTGGACAGTCCAGGGAACCTGGGCATCTGCATTTATAAGCACCTTCCAGGAGTTTCCTAAAGCAGCCAGCCCAAGGACTGCCTTGTGAGAACCTCAGGGCAACTGCACTCGATGCTTCCATTTGACTCTCGCTAAGGCAGCAGGAATAGCACAATCCTGTGACTCCCAGCTCTGGTGTGACAGAGGTCATGTGACTCTTAGAGCCTCCGTTTCTTTGTCCCTGAACTGGGGATATATTGTCCCTCATCTAGTTGTGAAGATTAAACAAGAGTGTAGACTGGAAATCCTTAGCATAGCACTTGGCTCAGAGTAAGTGCCCAAAAAGTGTTCACTCCCATCTCTCCTTCCCTTGAGTGCATTTTGTTCCCCCACCCAACCCAGCAGAGGCTATGTGGGTAGTGAGTGTGCTAGACAGTGTGTGTTTAAGGGGTTTAGGAGGCAAAGGCAGGCCATGCGTGGTGCACGCCTATAGTGCCAGCTCTCAGGAGGCTGAGGAAGGAGGATCGTTTGAGCACAGGAATTCAAGGCCAGCCTGGACAACAGAGAGACCCTCACCTTAAAAAAGAAAGAAAGAAAAAAGGCAGGCGCAGTGACTCATGCCTGTAATCCCAGCACTTTCAGAAGCTGAGGCAGGTAGATCACTTGAGATCAGGAGTTTGAGACCAGCCTGACCAACATGGTGAAACCCCATCTCTCCCAAACAATACAAAAATTAGCTGGGCGCAGTGGCACACCTGTAATCACTTGGGAGGTTGAAGTGGGAGAATCGCTTGAACTCAGGAGTCGGAGGTTGCAATGAGCTGAGATCATGCCACTGCCCTCCAGCCAGGGCAACAGAGACCCTGTCTCAGATTAAAAAAAAAAAAGAAGCAATCGCAGAGTTATCTGAAACATGTTCCCTGGGCCACTAGGCTCTCCCTGTAAAGGACTTCCCCAAGTAGGCAGCAGACCAGGGGGCATGACTTATGCGGCCCCACAGTCAGCCTTGGCTGGAGGAGCCCAGGCTGGCATGGTTCCTGACCTTGGACAGTGACGTAGAAGAAGGCTGAGACCCCTTCTGTCCTGCACTCAAACTCGCCACTGTCCTGAACTTTGGCCTCGGGCAGGATCAGACGGTGTTTGCGCCCATCCATCTTCACCACCAGCAGCTCACTCTCCTCCACCTTCTGCCCATCCTTGTACCACGTCGCTGGGAAGTCCACCCTCGAGAGCTCACAGGTCAGCACCACCCGATCTGAGGTTGTGAAGGTCAATGACACCTTGTTCTGGGGGCTCAGGATGTGCACCGGGCTCTCTGTGTGGGGAGAAGCACAGATAAGCACCCGTCTCCGGTGCATGGGCTCAGCGTTGGGGTGGATGCAACGGAAACTGCTGTTGTTGTTGTTGCTGTTTTTTGAGACGGAGTTTCGCTCTTGCTACTCAGCCTAGAGTGCAATGGCGTGACCTCGGCTCACCACAAGCTCTGCCTCCTAGGTTCAAGCAATTCTCCTGCCTCAGCCTCCCAAGTAGCTGGGACTACTAGCGTATGCCACCATGCCCAGCTAACTTTTGTATTTTTAGTAGAGACAGGGTTTCACCATGTTGACCAGGATGGTCTCGATCTCTTGACCTTGTGATCCACCCGCCTCGGCCTCCCAAAAGTGCTGGGATTATAGGTGTGAGCCACCGCACCCAGCCTGGTTTCTTTTTTTTTTTTTTTAATTTTGAGATGGAGTTTCACACATTTCCCAGGCTGAAGTGCAATGGCGCAATCTCGGCTCACTGCAACCTCTGCCTCCCAGGTTCAAGCAATTCTGCCTCAGCCTCCCTAGTAGCTGGGATTACAGGCATCCACCACCATGCCTGGCTAATTTTTTTGTATTTTCAGTAGAGACAGGGTTTCTCCAAGTTGGTCAGGCTGGTCTCAAACCCCCGACCTCAGGTGATCCGCCTGCCTCATCCTCCCAAAGTGCTGGGATTACAGGCGTGAGCCACCATGCCTGCCCTGTTGTTGGGGTTTTTAAAAATAGGCTTGGGCTTACACACCAACCCTTAAGAGCGGTGCTTTGGCTGTGCATAAGAATTCCTAGGGAGCCTGCCAAAAATGCAGAATTCTTGGACTCCCAAGTGTGCAGGGGCCAGGAAATCTGCATTATAAACCAGCCCTCTAGGTGGTTCTGATGTCAGGGAGCCCAGGTCCCATTTTGAAAAATGCTGCTCTGGTTGCTGGTCAGGTCTCACCTGGCCCTCTGCCTGCGATGCTGACAGCGAATCACCCCAAGACCCTGGGCATGGGTACCAGCAGACTCTTTGATTGGTCTTGCCAACTCCAGCAACAGTGACATGGCAAATGCTAGTATGATCCTTGAACCTTCAGCCCCCCTCATCCTCAGGGATGCCTCGTTCTCCTCCTTCCACCTTTCAGCAGGTGGCACAGTGTGATCAGGAGCCAGACTGCCTGGGTTCATAATTCAGCACCTCGCTCATTATTTCCGTGCTTTGAGCAAGTCACTTAACCTCTCTGTAACTGTCTCCCCTGCTATAAAATAGGAATGTCAAAAGAACCTATGTTTTTTTTTTTTTTTTTTTTTTTTTGAGACAGAGTTTCGCTCTTGTTGCCCAGGCTGGAGTGCAATGGCACGATCTCGGCTTACCGCAAACTCCGCCTCCCGGGTTCAGGCAATTCTCCTGCCTCAGCCTCCTGAGTAGCTGGGATTACAGGCACGCACCACCATGCCCAGCTAATTTTTTGTATTTTTAGTAGAGACGGGGTTTCACCATGTTACCAGGATGGTCTCGATCTCTTGACCTCGTGATCCACCCACCTCGGCCTCCCAAAGTGCTGGGATTACAGGCTTGAGCCACCGCGCCCGGCCAAAAGAACCTATCTTAAGTTCGAGATAAGCCTGGGCAACAGGGTGAAACCCCATGTCTACTAAAATACAAAAATAAGCCAGGCATGGGGGTGCACATCTGTAGTCCCAGCTACTCAGGATGCTGAGGCAGGAGAACTGCTTGAACCTGGGAGGCAGAGGTTACAGTGAGCCGAGATTGCACCATTGCACTCCAGCCTGGGCGACAAAGCGAGACTCTGGGGAAAAAAAGAAAGAACCTATCTTACAGGGCCATTGAGAAGATCGTGTTAATCTATGTAAGGTGACACAGGACGGTGCATGGCAGGTAGGAAGTTGCAATGAAAGTGTCAGGAATTGAACAATAGGGCAGGAGGTAGTCAGGGACTAGCAGCCAGGGTCTGTCTTTCAAATGAGATGACAAATGCGACAGAATCCTGTAAACCACAAAGCACTCCAGAGAACTGGGATATGATGCTGACATATATCAAGATAACAAGGGGTGCTCTGGATGTTGCATGTGGGTTGAAATTGGCCTTCTGGACCTCTGAGCCCTCCACCTGCGCCCATCGTGGATGCTCCTTGCTCTCCTGGCCCAGATACAAGAAATGGGAACAGCATCTGTCTCATTTTGCCAACAGAACTTCTGTGTCTTGACCCTCTCTGCCCACTCAGGTCCCCACAGGCACCAACCTTGGATGGTGAGGGCAGCTGAGTCCTGCACGCCGGGGCAGCTGAAGCCGACCAGGGCCCCGCTGTCCTGGTGCTTGACGGCATGCAGGATGAGTCTGTGCTGCAGGCCTTTCTGCTCCACATGGTACCGCAGGGCCCCAGGTTCCACCTGGCCCTCCGGCTTGTGACTCTTGAGCTCTTCCCCATTAAGGAACCAGGTACCCTGGATGATGGTGGAGAGATCGAGGGAGAAGACGGCATCTTCCCCGTCGTATACCTGCACATCTTCCAGACCTGCCACCAGGCGAGCTGTGGGCACTGAGGCAGTGACAGAGTGCAGCTGTTAGAACTACAAGGGGTGGCAGAGGGTAGAGGCTGGTGGATGGCAGGCCTGTGAAAGGACCAGCACTGAGGGCTGGGGAAAGGAGAAGTGATGAGCGGGTCTGGCAGGATCAACTCACCAAGGTGAGCAGAACCATGGAACACCACGTGAGGACTGCGACCATGTCCGCTGACTGCGCAGATGCGGAAGCGGTAGTCACCCTCGGAGGGCACACAGTCGCCCGGCACCTCCACGGCTCCGGCTTTCTCGATGCTGAAGCACTGAATCCAGTCTTCAGAGCCCACTTCCTGCCGCTCCAGCCGGTAGATGAATGGGGTCTCAGGAGCAGGCTCGGGAGGCTTCCAGGTCAGCAGGACTGTGTTCTTCTGGCCCTTGAACATCTCAGCCGACACGGGGGGCCCTGGGGGACTGTGCTTGACGCCTGAGACCAAGGCAAGGACGTGTTCCAGCCTTGCTTGGGCCTCCACAGCCCTTCCACCTTAAATCTACTTCACCAACCCAGCTGGGGCATCTGGCCAACCTCCCACCCTGGCCCGCCTGTCCAGAGGCCTTCCTGCCCTCACATTTGACTCTGAGCAGCGCAGTGGTACGGGAGTTGCCCAGGCTAAAGATGACCTCGCCAGCATCTTCTCGGGTGACCCCTGGAAGGACCAGCGCATGCATGTGGCCCGAGGTGGTCTGGCAAATGGCCGGCAGCTCCTCTCCATCACGACTCCACCGTCCCTGGACCCCAGCCTCTAGAGTTTCCACCAGCAGCACTGCATTCTCTCCCTCCAGGACATCGAGCTTCCGGGGCAGGCGCTTCAGGATGGGCCCTGAGATGCAGACAGGAATCCATCAGCCTGGAGTCTGAGCACCTGCCTGCCTCTGCCTCAGCCTCTTCCCCGAGGGCCAGCCAACCTTTGACTGTGACATTGGCCACGGTGCGCACCCGGCCCCGCATCTCGCACAGATAGACACCGTCGTCATCTGCCTTCAGCCTGTGGATGATGAGGCGCCGGACGGTGCCCTCTTCGATCTGCTCGTACTTGCGGCAGGGCAGCAGCCGCTGGTCCTCTCGGAACCAGGCCGTGGGGATGCGGGAGTTGGGTACTTTACACTCCAGCACGGCAATCCCGTGCTCACGGCCCTCCACATCCTGCAGGGGCCTTGTGAACCGGAGGCGGGGCTCTGTGGAGAGGGGAGAGACAAGAGAGGGCTCTGGAGAATGGCCACACTAGGAGGAGGACTCCTCAGAGCGCATTAGTTCAGGCTGCGTGCTCTTCATGCAGAGCCAGCAGGCATTGTGGAATCACAGAAAACCATCAGAAGGCAAGCGGTGGTTCTTAAGATGGCCTAAGTTCTCATCAGGGCCTGGCACTTACTAGCCGCATCACCTTGAGACAGTCCATTTCAATATTTCTGAGCCTCAGTCTCCTTACTTGTAAAATGGGGAAAGAGAGGGAAAGGGCTGGACCAGATTGGTGATTTCCAAACTGTTCCTGGCTCCCCTCCCCCAGGCATTTCATATATTTCACAAAGGTCTGAGTAGAATTTAAAATATTTTAACTCTTTTCAAAAGTGTATTTCTGTCAGGCAAGGTGGCTCCTGCCTGTAATCCCAGCAATTTGGGAGGCCAAGGTGGGTGGATCACCTGAGGTCGGGAGTTCGAGACCAGCCTGAGCAACAAGGAGAAATCCCATCTCTAACAAAACACAAAATTAGCAGAGTATGGTGGCGCATGCCTCTAATCCCAGCTACTTGGGAGGCTAAGGAAGGAGAATTGCTTGAACCTGGGAGGCAGAGGTTGCGGTGAGCCAAGATTGCGCCATTGCACTCCAGCCTGGGCAACAAGAGCAAAACTCTGCCTCCAAAAAAAAAAAAAAAAAAAGTAATTTCAAAAAAAAAGAAAACAGGATGTTAGAAACCAGAAGGTTAACTTAGGTTGCTGGAGAAGCAAGTTTTTTTGTGTGTGTGCAACTCTGGGAAGCACCTCTAGCCTTCCCTTAGGGCTTTTCCTCCCTGATGGAGGTCCAGATCCACACCAACCTGGCGAATCTGTGCGCATTGAACTGTACCAGTGAGGCCACCACCACAGCCCGGGGGCCACATGCTTGACTGCATGCCAGGCAGGACTCAGGATAATTTACCAACTTTGTTTTTCCTCCGAGAGAAAAATCTGGACAACTAGTGAAGGCGTAAGCTTTTGCATTGTGATGAAATCCTGCTATGGAGAGCGTTCCCTTCCAGTGAGTTTGGGGTGTGTTTTTTTCCCTTTGAATTTTCTGTTTATGAGAATGTAAGCATTTATTGGATATTGGTGATTCAACTTTGAAATGTAAATCTCTCCTTCACCTTCCTCTTCTTTCAAACGTGGGGGGCAGTTTAATCAAAGAACAGTAAAAACATTCAGGACATTTGCCCACCCTCAAGTCTACCTTTCCACTGAAACGGTTGTTTCTCAAGGTGACAGATGCAGCCAGGCCGTCCCAACAGGGTTCAGAGCCTGAACCACGAATGCAGCCTTCACTTCAAATGCTTATATTCAATAAAATGGCCTCCTGATTCTCACTGACGCTTTAGAAGTGCCTGTTACACATTTAGACTTAGCAATTTACACCCGTAAAATACTCCTTTATCTGTTTCATCTATTGGGGCTCCAGTTGTGAATTCAGTTGGGGAAGGAGGAGTAAAATAACAAAGACGTTGAAAACCAGTAGGGGAGAAGAGTTCTAGGCCCTCTAGGTTTGTACATCAATCACTTCTTAGTGGTGTTCCACCATCTGCCTCAGAACCATTTGGGGAGTTTTCTAAGTTCCTGAGTACCCTGGAGACCTACTAAATCCGAATCCCTGGGGAGTGGGAGGCGGGCGGGTTTGGTATTTTAATATTCCCGCCGACCTCCCCTCCCCCAGTCTTCAGGGCAGCGCCGGGCACCGAGAGGGGCCGGGGTTCGGCGAGCCTCGGAGGACGAGCAAGGCCGCTCCCCCTGCCCGGGGAGCTGCCGTACCTTTCACGTGCAGCTGCACTGCGCTGAGCGTCTGGCCCGCCGAGTTGCGCGCGGCGCAGACGTAGAGCCCGCGGTCCTTGGCCTGGCAGTAGAGCACCTTGAGCACGAAGCCGCCGTCGCGGTCGCGGTACATGAGGCGGCGGCGGTCCGGGAGCAGCGGGAGGCCCTCCCAGTGCCATTCGATCTCGGGCTCGGGCTTGCCCATCACGTAGCAACGGAACTTGGCGTGCTTGCCCTCGTTCACCCAGAAGGTCTTGGGCGCGCACTTGAGCGGCTCCACCACTGGCGCTGGGCCCTCGTCGGGGTCTGCGGGCGGGCTCTCGGGGGGCTGCTGCACCTGGAGCAGCGCGCCAGCCTGCGCGTGGCCGTGCGCGTTGCGGGCGTGGCACACGTAGACGCCGGAGTCCGGCAGCCGCGCCGCCAGGATGCGCAGCGCCAGGCTCACGCCCGGGCCGTCCTCGGCACGGCCAGGCTCGAGCGCGAAGTGGCTGCTGTCCCACACTTCGTCCAGCGCCATCCCGTCCTTCTCCCAGTACAGCGTGGGCTCGGGGAGGCCCCCCGCCCGGCACGTCAACACCACCTCCGCCCCCCGCAGCACCCACTGGGACCGCGGCCCCGTCAGGAAGACCGGGGCGCCCTCCCCGGGCCCCGGCGGCGGCAGCGGGCGCTCGGCGGGCTGCGGATCGGGCTCGGAGGCCGGCGGCTCCAGCACGGTGATGGCGGCCGCCGCGTAGGCCTCTCCGGCCGCGTTGCGGGCGCGGCACACGTAGACCCCCGCGTCGGTGGGCAGCGCGCCGCTCAGCAGCAGGCCGTGCTCCGCGCCGTCCGCCGGGAAGCTCAGGCGTTCCGAGGCCGCCAGCTGCTGCCCGCCCTTTTCCCACACCACGACGGGCGGCGGCTCCCCCAGGACCACGCACTTGAGCTCGGCCTCGGCGCCACTTACCACCCGCACGGGCCGCGGGAAGCGCAGGAAGCACGGGGGGCTCCCCTGGTCCCCCGAGCTCGCCTTCATCGCGGCGGCCGCAGACCGCCCGCAGTGGCGAACCAGGGAAGGTGGGCGGAGAGCGAGCCGAGGCCAGAGGCGGCGGCGACGGTCCCGGGGCCGGGGCGCGGCTGGCGACCGGGCGCAGGGACCCGCGGAGCCCTCCCAGGCCGCCCGCTCCGTGCTTGCCTCCCTACCCTCGGCCCGGAGCTGCAGCTCTGCGGCGGCGGCGATTCCCTGACCCAGAGCCCGGCGCTTAGGGGGCAGTCCTTCCTGTTTGGCTCTCCAGCGAGGGGCCCCGCAGCCTCCTCTGCCCGTGGCCTGGCTTCCTGCTCTGGGGAGGCTCTTCCCAGCCCCCTCCCACAGCTTGGGCCTCTTTCCCCTCCTCCCTCCCACCTCCAGCCGCCAGGTCCCCAGCCGCCCGCCCGCCAGGCTTGGGCCTGAGTGGCAGAGGCGCCTGCAGCTGCCAATCCCAAAAATATTCTCTGATGACACAGCTGGAGGACAAGAGCCCAGACTGGCTCCTCTGGGCTAAGTATAGAGCAGGCGGGACCACCTGGCCCCTGCCTAGCTCCTGTTCTAGCCCCGGCCCCAGCCCTTCCCCCAATGGCTGGCCTGCCCAGCAGCTGCTCATTGAAAGGGGCCCCAGAAGGTCTGAGGGGTGGTGCACTCTGTCTCCTGGACAAATGACACTTTCTGGGGCTGGCCGGCTACAGCTCCCAGGCTTGATGTCACCGCTGGATGCGAGACTCTGTGTGTGTGTGTGTATGTGTGAATAGGGAGTTGATGTCCCCTCTGGAAGTGAGTGTGTGTGTGTGTGTGTGTGTGTGTGTGTTTGTGTGTATGTGTGTAGGGAGAAGGGGTTGTATGTTTTGCATTTGGGTCGGGTCGCTTGGGGCGAAACCCTCTCCAGCCCCTCCCCCACATTCCTGGCGGGAGTGGGAGATAAGGCTCATGGCCACAGACATCTACGTCAGAGATAGGAGGTCTCAATGCCACGGGCAGGGGCAACTCGGACTGTGGGGCGTGGGAAGGACTGGGGAAGACGGGGTGAGAAGGGTAGAAGAGGGTGGGTGTGGGATGAGGAGGGGAAAGCAGGGAGGCCCTGGGCACACCCTGGCAGAAGGGGCATAGGGCAGGGAGTGGGTTCCCCGCTAGTAGGGCCAGGTGAGCCATGGCGCTGCCACTGCTGCTCTTCTTGCTGCTGGCGCCACAGGGTGGGCACAGCTGCGAAGGGTCAGAGCTGGCCCGGGAGCTTGTTCTGGCCAAGGTGAGGGCCCTGTTCCTGGATGCCTTGGGGCCTCCAGCGGTGACCAAGGAAGGTGGGGACCCCGCAGTGAGGCGGCTGCCCCGAAGACATGCCCTCGGGGGCTCCACACACAGGGGCTCTGAACCCGAGAAGGAGGATGTCTCCCAGGCCATCCTTTTCCCAACCACAGGTAACAAGGGTGGGGGAACCGGCAGGGTAACTGAGAAGCTGCGAGGCACAACATGGGTTTGCAGGCCAGGTGGACCAGGGTTTGAATCCCAGCCCAGTCATTCAGTGTCTTTGCAACAATAGGCCAGTTGCTAAACCTCTCTGTGTCTCTATCTCCCCATCTATAAAATGGGCGATAACGCCGACCTCTCAGGATTAAAATGCTGCACCTAGAGTGCGTGGCATGTGGGAGGCATTTGGGAGGGATGCGCCAGGAGACCAGGGGTCTCTAGAGATGGGGCTGTCTGGGCTGGCCACCTTTCTTCCTATCTCTGCCTCTGCTCCCTGCTCCAATCCTTTTTTCTTTAGTCCCAGGTAGCTGAGACTGAGAAGCTATCAGAGATACAGGCAAAAGATTAGTTGGGAAACTTTTCTGGAAAACTTGTCTATCCTCTCTTGAGTTCCTGTCTTAACAACTTATGTGTGTCCTCTTGTTCCAATGACTGAACGGATAAACCCTCTTCCAGGTGGCCTTTCTTGTCATCTGGTCCACTTTTCTCCTAGAGAGGACCCCTGCCTCCCTCACTTCACCCCCTCCGCAGCACTGTGGGGAAAAGGATGGCTTTGGGCTCAGGCAAAATCCCAGCCTGGCCACTTGGTCGTTGAATGTCATTTCACCTCTCTAAGCCTCAGTCTCCTTATCTGCAAAATGGACCAATTTGTGAATATATAATGGGTGCTGCTCCGGGATGATTAGTATAGTCTACAAATATGTCAGTGTAAGGATGCTAACTGCACATTCTTTATTTGTTTTTGAGATGGAGTTTTGTTCTTGCTGCCCAAGCTGGGTGCAGTGGCGTGATCTTGGCTCACTGCAATCTCTGCCTCCTGGGTTCAAGCGATTCTCCTGCCTCAGCCTCCCAAGTAGCTGGGATTACAGGCTCGTGCCACCACGCCCAGCTATTTTATTCTATTTTTAGTAGAGACGGGTTTCACCATATTAGCCAGGCTGGTCTTGAACTCCCAACCTCAGGTGATCCACCCACCTCGGCCTCCCAAAGTGCTGGGATTACAGGCGTGAGCCACTGCGCCTGTCCCCAACTGGACATTCTTGAAAGGATTGTCTTCTGTTCTGAGTTACTGCGTGAGCCACTGCGCCTGTCCCCAAATGGACATTCTTGAAAGGATTGCCCTCTGTTCTGAGTTACAACCCTCCTCCTCCTCTTCTCCATCCTCCTCGTTCTTCGTTTTCTTTTCCTTCCCACCCGCCTTTCCCTCCTTCTTCTTTTGTTTTTTGGTGTTAAGTTGTCTTTTAAAAATGGAATTAAGGAATTTATCATAATTGTATGATATGCAATATTCCTGACATGCCAAAGAGAGTAATACGGCTCGGTGTGATGGCTCATGGCTGTAATCCCAGCACTTTGGAAGGCGAAGGCAGGGAGATTGCTTGAGCTCAGGAGTTCGAGATCAGCCTGGGCAACAGAGCAAGAGCCTGTCTCTACAAAAAATGGAAAAATGAGCTGGGTGTGGTGGCATATGCCTGTGGTCTCAGTTACTCGGGAGGCTGAGGTGGGAGGATTGCTTGAGCCCAGGAGGTAGAGGCTGCAGTGAGCCATGATTGTGCCACTACACTCCAGCTTGGGTGACAGAACAATATTCTGTCTTAACAACAAAAAGTAATGTTAACAACCATCTGTGTGGACACCACCCAAGGTACTGTTTCACACTATCTGGTAAGTAAGCATTGAAGTCTACCTACCATTTCTTAGTGCTGGTGAAGTGGAGAGGGACAGGGCCTCTTACACACTGCTGACGGGCATGTTAATTGGTAAAACCACTTCAGAGAGAAGCTGGCAGTGTCTTGTATTTTTTTAAGTTCTTTCATGAAGAAATTAAAAAATAGGAAGCCTACAGAAGCTCTCCCAAGACTCAGGAGAGTTCCCATGTCTGGGAGGGCACAGAGCAGAGTGCAGCCCATCATTAGCTCATGACTGGCAGCCACGTCCCTCCTGTTGAGGAAGGGTGCCAGGTCCTGCCAATCAGTGGTGCTGCCCTCTCTCTTCTCTTCTGTCTCCTTGCAGGTGCTAGCTGTGAAGACAAGTCAGCTGCTAGGGAGCTGGCCCAGGAGGCTGAGGAGGGCCTCTTCACGTACACGTTCCGGCCATCCCAGCATACACGCAGTCGCCAGGTGACTTCGGCCCAGCTGTGGTTCCACACCGGGCTGGGCAGGCAGAGCACAGCGGCCTCCAATAGCTCTGGGCCCCTGCTAGGCCTGCTGGCACTGTCACCGGGGGGACCCATGGCTGTGCCCATGTCTTTGGGCCATGCCCCGCCTCGTTGGGCCGTGCTGCACCTGGCCACCTCTGCTCTCTCTCTGCTGACCCAACCTGTCCTGGTGCTGCTGCTGCACTGTCCTCTCTGTTCCTGCTCAGCCCGGCCTGAGGCCACGCCCTTCCTGGTGGCCCACACTCGGACTAGACCAGCCAGTGGAGGGGAGAGAGCCCGGCGCTCAACTCCCCCAGTGTCTTGGCCTTGGTCTCCCGCTGCTCTGCGCCTGCTGCAGAGGCCTCAGGAGGAACCGGCTGCCCATGCCAACTGCCACAGAGTAGCACTTAACATTTCCTTCCAAGAGCTGGGCTGGGAACGGTGGATCGTGTACCCTCCCAGTTTCATCTTTCACTACTGTCATGGTGGTTGTGGGCTGCACATCCCACCAAACCTGCCCCTTCCGGTACCTGGGGCTTCCCCTACCCCAGCCCAGCCCCCTTCCTTGCTGCCAGGGGCCCAGCCCTGCTGTGCTGCTCTCCCAGGAACCATGAGGCCCCTACACGTCCGCACCACCTCAGACGGGGGTTACTCTTTCAAATATGAGACAGTGCCCAACCTTCTCACGGAACACTGTGCTTGTATCTAAGGGGGTCTTACTTCTTAGTCCCTTGGCTGGTAGCGAAGTCCCCACCATCGTCAGCTGGGAGGAAAGGAAGAATTGGGAAATAGATGGCTCCCACTTCTCCCTCCTTTCACTTCTTTGCCTGAGGGTCACTCTCCCCATCCCACTTCTGTCTCAATAAAGAACTTGGCATACATTCTCCAGCTTCTCTGATACGGAGTTGGGCCCCCAGGAGCATGGGGTTGTGGGATCTCAAGTCACTCAGCCACACTTGACCTCGGAGACATGGAGTTCAAGAGCTGTAACTGGATGTGTATCGGTTGGGAATCTACAATGCTTGGGGATGACACAATAGTGCTCCAAGCTCCTTGGGGAGCCACCCTGGAGACAGAGCTGGACTCCTGCAAGCTGAACCAGACATGTCAGTCGGGTTGCCTGCCCTGCGTGCCTAAGGGAGACTGCTGCACTCACGTGCCCACATCCAAGGCAGCCATAAGTCTCCTCCCCTGCTGTTCTCTGCCCCAGCTGGTGGACACTTAGCCCAAGGTCAGGTGATTTGTAGCCTGGCCAGAGATTGTGGCCTTTGGAACCCCACTGAGACCATTGTCCAGAGTCGTTTAGATCTTGGAGTCACTTGGGAATCTTGGGTGGGATGTAAGGGAAAGATACACACATTGGCAGCATCAGAAAGAAATTAACAAGGGCGAAGAGGTGGTGTATTAAGGTCAGATCACCTGAAAAGACCTGAGGATTTCAGTTTGCCAAGGGTCCTTCTTTGAATCTGTCACTATCTCTTGGTGTAGACTCTGTGAGGCCTCCTGCACTAAGATTCCAGTTAATGAACTCTTTGGCACCCCTTGATGCCCCCTGTGTATCTTTACATAATTCCTTAACTCAGCCAGAAGAGTGGAAAGACTGAGGCTACTGCCCGAAAACAGAAAAGCTCTTTTGTGAATTTGCACGTGCAGGGCATGGTGGAAAACAGTACTTTT